AATTGAGTTCATTGGTAGAACAATTGAATGGGGGGGGGCGGAAGCCATTGAGGGCAATCATGAATGTCAGGGACAATGGAGGAGGAAGATGGGACATGGCAGAGGGTGGGGATGGGGAACCTAGGATGGCAAAACAAAAGGCAAGGTATGCAGGACACAAAAATTGGGAAATCATTTGCTGAGAACATATATGTTGATGTGCTTGATTGAGCCAATGCACAGTGTATTTTGGATGGAAAATTCATATGTGTGTTGTGATGAGAAAAAATTTATAATAAAAAACAAAGTATAAAAAAAAAAAAAAGGAGGGAGAAGAGGATAAAGACAGCAGTGAACAATAGAGAGGCAGGATGTTAATGAGAAATAGATATGGTTTATTACCTGTTGATGATGACATGTATAGTATTCTCAACTGAACCGGTCTGGAAAGTATTTCATGATGGGTGAAGTCTTTTTAATAAGCAAAATGAGAAATAGTGATTGACTGTTTAAAAAAAAATTATAATAATAATTATTGGGAAAAGCATGGAAAAGATATTGAATGATAAAGCGGGGAGATTGATATCTCTGTATTGACTGACATGCATGGCATTCCCTTTTGAAAAGGCAATGGAAGTCAATGTAAAGTTATATGTAATCTAGTGTAATAGAAAGAAGATTATGATGATAATAAAAAAAAAAGAATTTAAAAAAAGAGTCTTTGAGACTGTCCTGTCTAGTTTTTTCCCATTGATGGAGGAGGACACTGCAACCTAGAGGAGCTAGATGACATGTCCCTGTTGACACAAACCAGTAGCATCACTGTGACAAGAAGTGAGATCCTGGCCCCCTTTTCATAAAGAGTTTTGTGATCTAATAAAGACTGTGAAGATTTTATTATTCAACTTAGTAAGTAACACAATTGAATTTTTTTCCTTTGAGGGATTAAATTTATTTTTTAGAGAGTCACATCACCTCAAGAGACGTGTAATTGGAAAACCTTTTCTCTGCTCCTCCTTCTTTCCCTCCATTCCTTTTTTCCCCCTTCCCTCTCTTTCTGTATTTTTCTTACTTTTTCCATCCCTCTCTCTCTTTCCTTCATAGGTATATACCCTCAATGAAGACAAGAACAACAGATAGCAGACCTAAATCAGGGGAACACAATTTGAGGATTGCCTGTAATATAACTTGGGCTGAAACTTTAAAAATATAAAGTTAACCAACTTAAGTCTTGAAGGTAGAAAAAAATGTTCTTCCCAAGTAATTTGATAGCATTTATGTAAAATTTAATTTTTATACTCTCCAATATACCACTCACCCCTCAGACTTTTCATCTTAAGGTTCAAAATAATCCCTGGTGCTTACAATTGAAGGATCTTGTAAAGGCTGTGTGAGCTCATTTGGATCTCATGAGACCGCAGTAAGCTGATAATGTGTTTCTCTCACAGTCATCCATACTATCTGTTTATAAACAGCCATGTTTAATTTGAGCTGAATTTTCAAAACTGGGACATTTCTTATCTTTCCTATCCCTTAGTCCAACTGGCTACTTTTCTTTTTGACTCCGGTCCTGAGGATGATGTAAATTTTCTCCGGCATAGAAAAGAGAGAAAGGGAAAAAACAAAAGAATCAGAGGACCAATGTAACAAAATTCTCCCAGTGAATTCCTAATAAAGAAGGGACAAACAATACCAATAGTGCCAAAACATTTACTGAACATTTTCTAGTCTTTCAAAAACGTTACAAAAAGTGAACAAATATAGTGAAACTAATAGCAAATTTAATATTGAAAGCTAACAAATGGGTAAGTCTAGGCAAGACATGGAGGGGAAAAGGGAACAGCTACAGGCATTCACTATGGTTAAAGTACTGTATAAGGCTCTTTTATACGTAAAGTTTCTCATTCAGGAAAAATTATTCCAGACTTGAAAATTAAGCAAAATAAAATTGTGACTGATTAATATCATGCTAGTCCGTTATCCATCAAACCTTCTGAAGAGTCACTGGACTGTGTGGGAAATGTAACTTTGTTTTGACTAATAATTCAATAGGGATCACATTAAAGAACCTATAAAGTTGGAGTTGTAGAAAACTGATAAGGCATGATTATTTATTTTTGCTTTCTGGTAGAGAAATTACTTCCAAAGTTATAGTTTTATTCCCCTGGGGGACACTAACCGGTTTTACATCTTACTTAGCATCTCATTTCATCCAACTCTTCACCACTGATTATTTAAATTCCAGTTATTTGTATTCTCTTACAATCATCCTATTATTCTGATGTGAGTTCACAGGAATTTAACTCATCTATTCATATGAGAATCCTGTTTTCCATGATTTCAGAATCTGTGCTTTAACAGTCACTGAACAACCACACGAGGTAGTGTATCCTCATATTACAGAGGAAGAAGCTGAGTCTCGGAGAAAATACCTGCCCAAGGTTTTAGAGATAAGAACTGACAGAGCTGGGGTTTGAAGACAAATCTGCCTAAACACTTTCACAGAAAATACACTGGTGATTCACAGGTAGATTGAAAACCTGAGCTGGAACACCTTAAAAAAATAAAAATAAAAAATCAACCTCATCTACCTAGGTTTCTATGTTTGATTTATAAAGATGAGAGCTGAGTATTAAAAGCAACTAGCTCTAAATAACCTATAGCTAAGTGTTGAAATAATCATTTGAAGAGATTGCTTATTACTTTGTTTTCAGAACTTTTATAATTGGAAATGTTAAACATTTTTGCCCATCATTAAAGTGCAAAATTCCAATGTTTTGCCCATTCCATTCATGGTTCTAAGTGATGTGCAAATAAACAACTATGGAGGTTGTTATAAAAGTCACTGGAAAATATAGAATACTTAGAGTGACTCATTTTGACGTTTTGTGAATGTCTGTATATGACACAGTCTGAAAGCTTTTTTGAATAAATTAGACCCAATTATTAGCTTGCCCTTTTGTGAAGATGCTTTGCCCCTAGATTGATGGGAGGAAAAAAAAAAAAGAGAGAGAGAGAGTGAGAGAGAGAGAGAGAAATACCACACACTTTTCTATTCTTCAGGCATAAAAAGCAATTTGTTGTCCTGGCTGAACAGACAGGTAGATGTCAGGAGTAGAGAGTAACACACAGGTCTTAGACTGAAGGCACCAGAGGACATACTAAATCTTGAGAGTGTACCTCAGGAAAGGCTGCTCTTACATATACATGTTTATTTGTCAACGGATATACGTTTCAGCTCAGATATACCTTTGGAATGCACCCTTTTATCCACCTGAGGGTCTAGTGACTACATATGCAGATTTACATATTCTCCATAAATAAGACCCTTAGTCCAGGTCAAATGATATTGAGGTGGATAACGATTTATGCTGCTTCTGTGAAGTTTTGTCCACCAAGTCATGAATTAGAACGGTGAACCATGTGGTCTGGTTTCCTGTAGTGCTCACCCCGGTTTGGTGGGCACTGGCAGCTGCTCTCCACAGATTTAAGCCAGGCACCCTGCCTCAGCCCTTGCCTTGTCCTGATCACAAACTCTGGAGCAGCTGAATTTCAACTCCAGCTAAAGTGAAAAGATAACTATGTGGTTCAAATTCATCTTGACTCACAGTTTCACTGTTTTATCCTGGCTAAAGCTGCTCACTGTGTCTGTGGTTTTCTTACATAAATTTTCAATCCAGTTAGTGCTATTATAAAGAGTCTTTTCCAACCCTGATGTCAGGGGTGGATTTTTAGCCCGCATATTTTTTCCAGATGTGATAAGCTCTCCATAGCCTTCTTGGTGAGCAAAAGCATATCCAGATCTTCTTGAGCTTGACCTGCGGGTCTGAGGCCTTCGGCTACTTAGGGGCCTTGCCTTCTTTTGCGCCTTCTGCCACCTGCGGATCTGGAGAGGAACAGACCCAGATGAGAAGAGGCATCCAAATGACAGATTCCAGACAGTGGGCCACATTGTGAAGTGCAAACTTTTTCAGTAAAAGCAACATAGATAACAAAATACTCACCTTTATTGTAAATGCAAATGGTAGTTTTAAACCAATAAATGTTCCACCCAAAGATCACACTGGGCATTGGTCAATTTTTATTTCTACTAAGAGACTAGTACATAAATAAGAAGTACTCAGACAAATTGCTTCACTGTCTTCACCTCTTGCATTGTAAATGTATAGGAGTGTACTTTTGTTACAGAAAGATTTTTCTAGCCTGTATCACCCAAATACAGCATAACAATTTATAGTATCATTTTCCCCCAAATAGCCTTTTTTTTCTCCCTCTTAGAGGTTCTCTGGCTCCGACAGTCATCAGTGACTGGAATAGAAAATTTAGAAAAGGAGAGTCAAGTTTTCAAATATGTCAGGTCACTAGATGGTGAAACTTTAGGATTTTGATTTTTTTTTTCTTTTGGAAGGTGGGGGTTTACAGCCTTATGAAATGGCTCAGTACCATTTGGATGGGTTTCCAACATTTCCTTCATGTCTCTATAAAGTTGAGAATAAAAAGACCTGAGGTTTGGTGCATACGACCTTGTTCTCTGATGGCAAATCTTTTGGATTTTGACTTTGTATTAGGAACAAATCATTAATCAGGAAATCACAATCAGACTTCATACAGAAAAAAAAATGAGCACCATCTTCCTTTCTTCAGCTCATCCATTATTTTCTGGGTTTATATCAGAGTGAGCTCATAGAGACAACGAGAAAGGGCAAGCATGACGAGGGACTCCAAGAATCTTTTCAGAAGGGATATTTTCATACTGTGGCCCCAGAATGTGAGGGATGTCTCAATAAAATTCAACTTTAGTCCCTCTCAGCATCATTAACCTGGTCTCACTCACCCCAACTTCTCCCTTCTCATGACATGGCTACAAATACATGTCTTCCCTTTCTCTTTTTCTCTTTTGAGTACTGACCTAACCTGATGATGTCTTACTTATTCTTTTATTCCCATAGAATGTGTTGTAATTTCTTAATTTAAGTATTCCAATAATTTTATTCCTATAGTTATTGTCCATTCCTACTGTTATTGTCCTACTGTTATTCTTACTGTTATTGTCCATTCATGAAGCTGTTATTCTCTTTTTCAGTCTGTTCATAGGTAAGATCTCCCCCATGTTTCTGAATCTGTACTATATTTATACATAAATTTGGAGCCTCTTTAACCCATCTTGCTTTCCCTTCTTTTACTATACCCTTTACTTACCCTCAAATTAAAAACTTTCTCTATACCTTGGTTTTCCCTTGGAACAATTGTTCAAAATGATGCCAATGAAATTCTATTTCCAAAGTCAGCTTTCCATAATGCTCAACTTAACTTGTAATTTATGACTCCCCACCCACATTTAGTCTAGACACCTTTCTTCATTGGCACTCAGGACTAGTACGTTCCAGATGTGGGCAGTCCCCTCTACTCTGATGTGATGCCACACACTGTGGGTGTTTGCCTATGGGCATCTCATTAGCTTTCCCTGGCCTTCCAATCAGACTGAGAACCACACTGCAAGTACTCAGCACTGTCACATACCTGATCACTCAGGGTTGGATATAAATCAACCTTCAGAAACCTGAATGCCACCACTGGCATAACTGAAGCCACTGTTGTTAAGAGAATAACCAGCCAAATGCATTTCTGGGTCAAGGAATGTCGTGCGTTTCCTATCAAGAAAGGAAAACATACACTGTGGTTATAAATAGGACTAATGTATTAAAATCGTCTCTTTCTCTCTTTCTGTAAGGATTTAAAAAAAAAATGCTGAGGTTTGGACTACCTAGGGAGAACCAGAGTGTCTTTCCAGTATGGAGTATATTCAATGGTGAGGAGGAAGAGGCAAAAGTGGGGAGAGATCACCCTTGGGAACTGCTTAGTGTCCTGATCACATGGAGACTGCCAGCCTGAGTCAAGCAATCTCTGACCCAGGCTCAGTCTGGCTTTCCTCAGGAACCACAAGTCTTTTTTCCAGCCTAAGATCCCTTGGGTACAAAGCAGTCATTAATTTCAAAGGGCACATTTACTCTTATGAACTCTTCAAAAAAAAAAAAAATCAAAACTACACAATAAATGTTCTGAATGCAAGTACATTCTCAAGTAATGGATTGTCAGTCTCGTTGACTGATTATGTCATAAAAGGTGAGCTTTATTTACCACAGTGCCAACCTTTTAAATTCCATGCAACTGCCCCAGAAAACCTGCCTCAAAGGAGCTTACTATCTGTCCGATGTTCACTTGATTATGAGCTATTCTCCTCAGGAACCACAAGTCTTTTTTCCAGCCTAAGATCCCTTGGGTACAAAGCAGTCATTAATTTCAAAGGGCACATTTACTCTTATGAACTCTTCAAAAAAAAAAATCAAAACTACACAATAAATGTTCTGAATGCAAGTACATTCTCAAGTAATGGATTGTCAGTCTCGTTGACTGATTATGTCATAAAAGGTGAGCTTTATTTACCACAGTGCCAACCTTTTAAATTCCATGCAACTGCCCCAGAAAACCTGCCTCAAAGGAGCTTACTATCTGTCCGATGTTCACTTGATTATGAGCTATTCAAAGTTCCAAGATCAGGGAGGCTGCTGAGTTTGTGAAAAGAGTAGCCTCCCTCATGAGAAAAGACTGAGGTAGCCATCCAACATGCTTGGGAAACAGGACAGTGAAATCCACTTCCAAACCTGAAACTAGTTTCTTTACTTGATATAGCTCACATACTTGGAAGTTTGTTTAAACAAAGCAGTAAGAGTCAGTAAGGCAGACAGACAAATTCCATGGGAAGATGCCAACCCTACTTATACCACCGAAGTAAGCTTCTGTCCCAGTTCACTTTCTAGGGATTTATCATGATACCTCCAATTATCCAGGTCCCCTCTCCCAATGTTAAAATGTTAACACCATTTAAATGGTCTTTGGATGTGAGGGCTTGGCTACTGATTGCTATGTCTGCTTTTTCTGGCTTTGGAGGATAGAATCTGCCTACCAAAGAGCAGCAGGTTCCAGTTGCCTTCAGCCATGGGCAGAAACAAACTTGACTCAATAAATTAAATGTCTCTTTGAGCTCCTTGAAGCTCAGGGTACCCCCAGGCACGGCTGGAAAAACAAGCTTCACTCTAAAACCACACTCCTGCTTGCTGCTGGCTACTAAGGAAAAAAGAATTTTTTTCTTAAACCCCAATGTTGATCTAACTTTTGAAAAGTCTCATTGGAGCTCAGTAATTAATTCCTGGAATGGCATGTGCTTAGTTGGAGAGTGTGGTCCCCACAAAAATGACTTTCTCTAGTTGAGGCATTCCAGTATCATTAGGCACATTGCGATGCTTCCTTAGAACTAGAAGTCTTGTAGTCAGTGCACCAAATTTCCAGATTTGGCAATCAAGATAAAATAAAACTTAAAAATAGTTTTACTGTCATTTTTCTTTCCTAATATGAGTATTCTTATTCAGAACAGATATGTCTCAACATGGTTGGAATCTTTTGGTAAACAAAGTATTAACATTACATATTAAGTAAGAGTGGTGTTCTTTTAAACACTTCCATGTACACAGGAAAAAGCAGAAGTTGAAGAACAACATTCTTATGCATATTTGTGTATTTAAATGGAATTACAACTTCAGGTACCTTTGCATCAATGGTCATGTCTAACCCTACAGTGGTCCTATTTTGCTTCTACATCAGTCTTCAATTGATAAGTATTGCTTTTTGGGACTAAATTCCCCAAGTACTAAATGCAAAATTCATTCTTGCCTGATTAAGTACAAGCACATTGTCACTGTGCTTCTCTTCTTTCCATTTTGCTGAGATGAACTTAAAAGAAACATTACTGGGACCAGCAGTTAACGTAATGGCTATGTCGCTGGACTCCCATGTAGTCGACTGCGGTTCGAATTCTGGACCCGGCAGCTTAAACTCATGCCAGGTGCGTATGCGTGTGTGCCCAAGATCCCGAGAGGAGAATAGAGGAGAAGGGATTGCGGCATGACCATCCCCACTGGGGGTGATTTTTCACTTTCTGTCTCTCTGTCTCTCTGTCTCTCTCTGTCTTTCTGGCAAGCACACACACCCTATAGCAAAAACCTCTCCAAAAAGAACACAAAAAAGAGAAGCATTACTGTTGCCTACTTATCACAAGCATATTAGTTTGTTCAAAACTTCTGAGAAAGTATACTAATAGTTCTTTCATGTAAAGCTCAGAGGATTTTTCTAGGGACAATTTTGAAATGTGGAGTGCAATGGTAGTATACTCCATACATGGACTATATGTACACTTAATGTAAGATAATAAAATTTCAAGAGTTTAAAGGATTTTAGGGGTCATTTACTACCCATTTGATGTTTAAATCTCTGTGTATTGCCTGCCCCCCAATGCTTGACTAATAAAAATCACCATCATAATAGTTTATATTTATTAAAAAAGTATATGTACTAAGATACACGATACATTTTTTTTGAGAGATTTTCACTATAGGGCGCATACACTCATCAGACAGACAGAGACATAGAGACAGAAAGCGAGAAATCACCCCCCAGGGGGGATGGTCACGCCGCAATCCCTTCTCCTCCATTC